CATTTTTTTTTTTCTATTCAAAAATGCGATATGGATGTTTCGGAAACTTCTGGTGCAGAAAATTAAGGGCCAAAGCCACGTGTTAAAACTATCTTGACAATGATCCTTAAACCGGAAGTAGTCGAAAAAATATGAGATATTCTCATAAAAATGTTTTTGGTGAAAAATGTGACTTCTCCATCAGATATTGCTGTATCAAAACAGTTAAAGTATCATTGGATAGCCCGGTGAATGAACTAGGTTTTCTGAAAGCCATGCAGGTGTAGTTATCATTAGGTTTATATGGGTCTATTGAAAACTGTATCATGTATAATGTTTAACATGTAATGCTAAGGTTGCTTTTTTGCAACGAAAAAGATGAATATACTGAGCCAAACAGGGTACTAAATCAAACTGCAACATCAGCTAGGGTACATATATGGATAATATGTGAAAACCAACCTACACAGCACAGTATGATAGATCGCTGTCAACTCAAGTATTCTTGCAAATGGTAATACTAAAGTAAATATAATATTACTATCAATTATTAACCTCGTCATCATCTTAGACCTGTTGATAAGATTTTCCTATCCAGCCATAACATAATAAGATGCCTGACTTAGATGTAATGTGTGGGTGTGGGTGAGAAAATTGGTATTAATTCATTAAATCCTTCTTTATATCAATAAAGATTATGTTAGAATTGATGTGAATTGTATCCATTGCAAAGACACAGTATGTTATTTATTATATCCATAGCAGCATGTCAAATAAGGTGGATTAATGTTATTTGTTCTACAATTATTTATTTGTTATTGGAAAATCTATATGATATATTACAATGCCTTTATTTTCCCCATTCATTAGAAATCTAGTTTTTGGTAAAAAAAAAAAAGATTATTTATCGTTTGTCCAATATATTATATTATAATTATCACTAAAGCAATTGATGCTTTTAAAATAATGATTTTTTGTTGGTTTAAAAAAATAAATTTAAGGGCTAAACCCATCACAAAATGACCAAAAATATTTAGAACTTTGAAATATACACATATCGGTACATGTAAAACTATATTTAGCTAAATACCCCTTAGGACAAATAGTTAATTCTTAGAAATTCTATGATCAATATTTTCTGAACTTAGCAATTCATACAGACTTACATGTATTTACACTGTTTCAAAATGTATGGCCTCAAGGTTTGCTGTAAATTGTATTTTGATGTAAAAATGATTAAGTGTCTAGCCACTGAATTGCATATTTTAAAAATGAAAGCCTGCTTAAGCTTGTGTTAAAAGTATGCTTACCAGTGTAACACAAGCAAAGATACATAAAACATATTTTAAACATGCATTATGCAATAGTTAAATCTGCCTATTGCAGGTCTTTCTTTAGGCCCGAAATGTTATCTAAATTATTAATTAGACATTAATTAACTTATCCAAACCATAATCAACTCTCGATGCCATTGTCAGCCTGCGATATTTATTGCGTATGAATACATTTTGAGATGGATAATTTAACTTAAAAATTACTAAAAATGAATAATTGTGACTTTGTTTATTATCGTACCAACGTTAGTAATGATGATCGTGGCTAGCCAAAAATTGAATCACAATCAACAAGAAACACAACAGGGGTGGCAAAACAACGAGACTATGAGTGCATATGCCCTGTTTCTCTTAAAAGTTAAAAGCACGGGGCAACTGTCCTGCGCCCACATTTTGCAAGAGACGGATAGAAAACAAGCTAAAAACAAAAGCGATTTTTCATACAATCATGGGCCATAATCCAGAAAGCTATGATCTGAAATGCATAAATATCAAAAGGAACCACAACCATTGGATTATAAACAATCTATGCATATGTACATGTAATTGTGTAATGGGAAACATATAGTTTATGATCTTACATCGTATATAAATTTTTTTGGGTTAAGGCTATTGAATACAGTATTCAATAATACATGAAAGACAGACTACTAAAAATATAAGTGATACATATATCAGGAACACAGAGAATAAAAAAAAGAGGGTCATTATACATGCGCATGTATGGTTTCCATAACTTTATCATATAAATTTATTATATAAATTGTTTTAAGGTGAGACTACTACTCTACTCAATAATGCATGACAGACATAGATTGGTAAAAATCTACACGTGACTTCTCATATATAATAACATCCCACTGTGTGATATTACACCGTCAACACGAGACTAAACGTGTACTCCATCTAGCCAACAACTTTAGCCAATGAAAATGAATCAATTATGAATGAGAAGTAAATTGTTAGAATTTGAGATACTTTGATAACCTAATATCAATATCTAATTTGTCTGCTGCAAAATAAATGAAATAGGAATTATGATCCATTGGAAATATATTACCAGAACAATAGCCAGAAATTATTCACCATTCTCGAGCGACTGCATGAATGGCTAAAAAGAGGACGGTGCCATTTCTACATTAGAAAATTGTTTACGAACAATTAAATGGTATCGGTTTGGTACCATTGAACTGTTATTTCAGACCACACCATTGGATTTTCCTGCCACATAAATATTATTACTCTTCCCCCAGGGAGCAAATAGCCGTTGTCAAAGTGAAAAGTACCAATATAAAATATATTCTCATTATCAATTAGGAAAATAGAGAGAATTATCGTAGGAATAAGTACACTAAATAACTACAATCATGGGGGAATTAAACAATTTCTCTAACATACCACAATAACGTTTGTTCAAAATAACAATAACAGCCCGTGGCAAATTTTCTTTTCCATATGAACTTATTGAAGACACAGTGGTCATCTCTGAAATGACATAACTGACAGTTGAAATGATAGCTTTATCATGAATTATAAAACAAATATGCATGTACATGTACATAGCCAGGGATCGTACGCTAAAATATGAATGAAATTCCATGAATTTCAAGGACCAAAACCGTCATATTGCAGGACCAAAATTAGCGCCTTGCGTGCAGTGACGTTTTTTATGAGAAGTATACCATAACCAAGGCTCTATGTAGTATTTTTACTGAATTAAATCTCCATGTATAATTAAGTTAATCTACATCTCCATGCAATAAAATCAACTTCTTACAAATTATGAAGGTAAATATAAAAAAATAACTGTCGGTAACAGTCGCTCTAGCATGTTGAGTGACATCGTCTGCTAATTAATAGCACTCGCGCAGGGCAATGTCAAAGCACGACATTCGTCATTGTTCAAACTTTTGTTATCGTCTAAAATAAGTGCTTACACTATTCCAATCAAAATTCTTGTTGACATTTGTACATATGAATATAGCTTGTTTATTTTTTTATTTAAAAACACAACCCCCATTCAAATTATAATCATAAACCCTAGAAAATGCCATCAAAATATTATCTTTTTTACAAAATTTTCACGTTTCCATGGAGGGGAAAATTCCATGACTTTCCATGGTCAAATACTCAAATTCCGGGTTTTCCTGGCCTGAAATTTGCATAGGTGGAATTCCATGACTTTCCATTTTTTCCAGGAAATGTATGAACCCTGTGTAGATCAAATAATGACTACAGGAAAAGTCTACTGAGTAGGCGAAAACACTGCCATGTATCTTAAATGATGCAATGAAATGAATGAAAATCTTAACGCATCTAAAAATTTGGACAAATGGAATATCTGAAAATTTAGGAGAAAAAGAATTAATGTACATAAAGATGTACATGTATCAGGAAATCTAGTCCTTTTTGTACTGCCTAATAATAACCACTCCCTACACATCCATGTCATACATGTACATGTTACTATGTACAAAATATCAAACCTATCAACTTAGTCTGCTCATTAAAATATACATCTCTGATATTATCTTCTTTGCTGTTTTATTTCATTTCTTAACTTCATTTTGCAATATAGCTAATCATACCATCTTACGCAACATTAAAACATATTTTATAGTTCACATCTCACAGCTTCCTCAATGGCACATTCAAACTTAATGACAGAAAGAATTTTAAAGTACATATTGTATCTTACATGTACATGTACATTTACTAAATTTCTTGTATCTTTATGTTCACATCCATACTATTAGTATTGACTAGAAAGATCTTAAGGTAAAGATACATTCCCACGAAAGTATTTATAAGGTTATTTCCAATAAAAGTATGGCATATTTGGTAAATGTAGAGAGTATAGAGACAGAAAACTTACTAGAAAAACACTGGATTGACTGAAAAATACCCATGTGGCTCCAACAGTAAAAACATTTAAGGGTATCCCTAACTGGCAGACGAAAGGAGCGTTTCTTGTGTGTTCATCAAATGGCTAACGGTTGTGAGAACATTGAGAGACTTACACTTTGAAGTTGGCAAAGGATAATCCAAGAATTCATTTAACTTAGGCTTTGATATTTATGGTACATGTAAATGCAGTCGTTATTGTTTGTATTTTAGAGGAGAGCCAAAAAAAGCTCCCCTTAATCAACAAATTGAAAAAATCGCTCCCCTAAAAAAAGTTCTTTGCCCAGTTTCGATAAGAGTGATTTAGAAATTAAGGAGTGTGATCTGATATTAAGGAGAGTGATATGATGTGTGTATGGGAAATGGTTCTGAACATCAATAACTGCATGTTAGGAGGTCATTCCTGGTTTCATAAATGATAATAAACCTCTGACGACTTTGTAAAGGAGAGCGATTTTCAATTTTAAGGGGAGTGACAGGCACTCAAGAGCGATCGCTCGCCTTAAAAAACAATAACTGTAAATGGATAACGACTTACGACACAAATACAAGCTAAAATATCATCAAATCACACAGTTCATATGCAGGAAAGCAATGTTAAAGATAAATTATCTAAAAATTCATGTTCATTTGACTGGCAAGTGGAATGCAACTCAACTAAATTCAGGATTCAAAAGAATTGCCTTTTTTTCATAATAAAACAACAGTTTTGGGTATAACATCCTGTTTACAAGGTGTAGATACTAACCCAGAATTTTGAAGCAAAAACATTGATATACATACCCTTGTATTATTTCTTTCGGCTTTTAATTCAGCTATTTCTTCCTCTCTTTCCAAAAGTTGGTCTCGGGATTGATTTAATTCTTTGGTAACTGTTGCTAATTCCTGACAATAGAAAAACAAGAAAATGATATGCTTTATGCAGAATCAATCGGCTTAAACTCTAAAAATATGCACCATACAAAATAATCTTCCCTAAAATACGTAACTATAGTGATTGATGTGAATGACATTTCCTAAGTAAAAATACTTTTAAATTTTGATGTACATGTACATGTGTACCTTTACAGTTGAATTCAATACGCAACTTATTTTCAAAAGTGTGTGAATTGTCTCCTGCATTTCTAGGGAATAAATCACAGAAATAATAGTAAATACACAGGAAATGATAGAGTAATTATCAAGTTGAAAACCTATGTTTACACTCCAGAACATGTATATAGTCACAAAATGGAGGTCAATGATCTCATCTGGATGCCAAAACATTACATGTAGATATGATACATTCTTATTAAATATTAAATAACTTTTAGTCAAGAAAGTAGTATATAATTTCAATAAAAAAATTATAATCAGTTACAATTCTTGAGTTACGTGTACATGTGTGTACCAGTATAAACATGAAGATGTTTTCCTACAATCTTCTTGTAACTAATCTAAAATATATTTTTAAAAACAATCTAATTACTTGTATGTCCTACTCCTATGGTACTGTAGGACATTCATTAAAATGCACTTCTAAAACTGAAATCCTACCATTTAGAAGAGCAGCCATAAAGAATGTGTACATGGCTTAGAAGTTTCTCAGACTATTTCACTACATCCTGATGTACAATTAACATGTAAGAATCTATTCTGTTTTATCTATTAACGTGTATACATGTGTTTTAGTTTCTAATGTACATGTAGATGTGAATAGTTTATATTGATGTAACGTAAGGATGGCAGAAATAAAAGAGCATCAATAATTCAGTTGGGTAAACTGAGAAGTTTGATGTCCAAGAGAAACAGTAGTAACTAGTCTGTCGATATAACTTATATTTTCCCGAGCCAACCTTACACTCTTTTACCTCTGTCAACTCTTAATACAAAAACGATCAATTTTTCTGTCCACACCATCAAACAAAATGTTTTTTTAACTCTTGAAAGAGTCAATATTATGTTCAGGGGAGTCTTTGATCTTTTAATTTCTTAGTTGCACATTTGGTATCCAATCAAAAGACTTCAAATTTAAATTTTGCCCCTAAACCAATTTCTTAAACATTAAGTTTACAAATTTCTTAGGACTTTGGTAACATTTCTTTAAATCTTTCATGATGTCTTCGATCACATTAAAATCAATTTTCCTGCTAAGAAAAATCATTTAATGTGTTCGCAGGTAAAATACCACAGATATGTCCAGTAGAATTTCTCATTAAGAAAAAAAAAAGTAAATTAAGAACCGATCAATCAGTAATGTTTATCAACCCTTCAAATAAGCTTTGTGTGCAATAAATTCAGTTAGAAGTTTAGTGGAAGTAGGTATTGTTCTGAGTATAATTCATGAGTGCACTTCTTATAATAAAGGGGATGTCGATGAAGCAACCACAAATAACTGCACACTTCACATTAAATTTTTTAGATCATCAAATGATTTAAAATTTGATCAATATTCTGAATCTGCATTTAATCAAAAGCAATTAAAATTGTGACTTAAAAATACATTTGTAATAATTTACAAATAATTATATTTTTCTGTTATTTTCTTGAACTGTAAACAAAAATCTTTAAGGTACATGTAAAAAGACTTTAATTTGACAGTTAACTTAAAATAACATGAATAATTTTTTCTTAATCCGTGAAAAATTAAATTGTTTTGCTGAAGAAAGATGTAGGTTGTCTAAATTTAAACAAAGAAATTTATTCTACAGTATCCCAGCATTGAAAAAATACCTACTTGTATAAAGAATTTCAGGTACTTATCATCCAAACTTTTTAAACGATACACAACAAAATCCAAACCACGATACTGTAGATCTGTATATAAATTAAAACCGTTGGCCATTGGACTGGGGTAGTATCCAAAATACGAATAACTAATTAAATTCCCAAATTGAATTGGAAGGATATTTCAACATGTTATAATTTGACGATTTCACTCCTGGCTTCTAATCCGCCTTGTTTGGATCATGGAAATAATTGATTTAAAAAAAAAAATATTTCTTTACACAACACACAAAGGTATCTATCCTTTTCCACTTAGTGAAAAGCTGGAACAATCTTCCCTCCACTCCATATTAGTGACTCGATCAGAACATATCCTAGAGAAATGGTGCCATTTAAATAGATATCTTTGGAATACTGAACATTTTAAAACACCTCCATACTTATACTAAATCCCCAGCCACCTCATAAATCAAGAAATGTCACACTGAAATTTTTATTCACTCCAAAATAACATGACATACAAAAATAAATCTGTATATTGAACACAGCTTGATGTGGGAGGAATAACACTATATAGGTAATAAAAAGGTAAATGTTGTCAATTTGTACTGATCAAGTAAAAACACCTTTCATCTATCCTACGTACAACCACATATATATCTTCCTAGTCAGCCTTCGTAAAAGCTTGATAAAGCTGCTTTGTAATCAATATCACAGTGTTTCAGCTAATACATCTAACATGAAATTTTAACTCAGTCCTGGGTATCGCAAGTGGGCTGTGCCATTTAAACATAACCATAGAAACGATACACACATATGACCAATGAAAAACTGCTTTACTACAGGACTCACATACTGTAACAACTCTAAGAAAGTGAAGTCTGTTAGAGTTAGACCGTCTGTGTGCCACACATTGCAGAAGTTATAACTAATGACCAACTTCCTTCTTATTTCAAGTATCAAAGACAAAAAAAAATTGATAAAAAGTTTTCTGGAATTGAGCAAGAACTTCAGATTCCGAGGAGGTACATGTGCGTCAATTCCAGCGTGGAGATCAAAGTGTGTACTAGTAACTGGTGAGCTTGAGAGTAAAAAGCCGGGGAATTATATAGTGAAATATCAATATAATTGATTGGAATGAGTGAAAGGAAATCATTCCATTATCAGTAAATTAATACAGCTAACAAATAAAAAGGAAGTCTATAATGCCAGATAATTAAAGTCACTAATCCCGTCTGTTATTGATATATCTAGAGTTACTAAAATCAAGACGAGAAAAGCCTTGGAGTTGGTTTGACAACCATAGTTCTTTAACATTGATACTCTCGACTGTAATTTGGAAGCACAAGTTAAGAGTAACCTATCACTGTCACTTTGTTTGACTACTGATCAATGAGACACTACTTTCTCACAACAAATTAGACCAAAATATTCTTAGGTTGTTGGGCAGTATAATTAAAATGAGACCATACTTTTCTTTCTTTTATGTCATTTATATTTACACTACCAGAAGCTTGTTTAAATGACCTTGCTTGACCACTCAGCCAATGAAAAGATGATTACAATTTATAACCAGCAAAGAATTAAAGTAGTTACATAAAAAAATTACATGCAGATCTTGTATACCAGAGGTGTCAAACATCTGGCCTGCCAAGGGTTTAAATGTGGCCCATGGAACAAATTTCAACAAACTGACGTGTCGATAATTCTTAGAAACTAGCAGTGGAAATCATTTATTATTGTTCTCCAGTTTCAATAAAACTCTGACTTCTGTATGTAATACAAGAGAACGTAGTGTATATGTAACGATTTTAGTCATATAAATCAATCAAATTTCCTTTATCTTGATATTTTTGTATGTCTCCAGCCACAGGAATCTGACCTTCTATCAGTATATATTTGCATACACCATACTCAACTAGACAATATATTAATATATAATAAAAAAAAAGAACAGGAATGCAAAGCCTGCTGAAGCCTCGATTTTACCTGCTCTCGCTTCACCTTGTTTTTTTTTTTAACAATTCGTAATGTTATTTACATTATTTTCGTTCGTTAACGCTTGTCATCGACTTCATTTTAAACACATAACAAAATAGGTTAGATTTGTGTACTACTCCAAAAGAAGTGGTAGAAAAGGTAAAATTATCTAAGACTAGATTTAGAAGGTACTGAAGAAGACAACCTCATGACCTCTCAAGGCCACCAGAGCAGTGATTTAAATACATATACATACATGTACATATATAATTAAAACATGTCAACAAGTATTTTCATTTGTAATCTTATAAATATAAATAAATTACAGCACTAGAAACAAGTTATTCTGGACAAGGTACAGTCCAACTTACATTTGTATTATTGCTCTATTTTAGCAGTAGGCCTACACCTTACCATCATCAGTGTTTACCGAAAACTGGTTGTTTTATTTACTGATACAAATGTATTTCCCAGCAACATTTGCTGTTGTTTACTTTAAGTTACCATATTGAAATAAATAGGGGTATGGAAACGTGAAATTTTGCTTTAAGTCTTTGAAAAAAAAAAAACTGATAAATTGACCAACCCTGTCAACGTCTGCAAATGCATAATACTGTTTATAGTTCTTACGCAAATCTACGGATCTATCTTAAAATTGAAGGAAATGCAGGTTATCACAGACTACAATAATTCACTTTACTCTATATTCACTTGTACAGTGAAAGAAGAATCATCAGTAAAGCAATCATTATATAGTTATCTCCCCTTATGAGATTCACATGAAAGAAATAATTCAGGTTCATTTGAAATTCAACCTCAGCTAATCATATTTCAGGTCATATTTGAAATCTAGTTGCTGATTCTTCAGTTTGTGTATATGAATATAATATATGAGGTTTAAAGCGATATTGCCTGATATTGAAGTTAACTAAAATGGAACCAAGTACATGAACAATTACATGTACTTGCAACTTGAATCTTTGATGGCTTATGTCGACTATGATCGTGGGCAACCAACCCCTTTGACACCAAACTACGGTCAAAGGAATTACATGGCGGCCATGTGATAAGTACAAAATAGTGATGCTATCGTCTAAGGTTAGCAATAAATTTCTTTAAAGCTATTACATGGTATTTTATCCTTTGTTTGAATACAAATTTAATACATTTGTGTTGTCCAATCGCTCTTCGATAATGTC